AACACAAATAATATAATTAGAATTATAAGAAATTGAATATTAAACTCACCAAGAATTTCGATAATTATGAAATACATTAGGTTTAAGCATAATTTTCCCTTCTTTCTGGCAATTGACGATATTGCATTTTATTATGTAAATTTTGCATATTATAGAGTATAATCCATTTGCATGTTGGCGTCGAGGCCTGAAAAAGAAGAAATTCATGAAATAATTCTGCAATACACACATTAACGAGAAATTATTTTCATTGAGAATTATTATTATTATTATTTTTTTTAATATAATTTTTCTTATTAAAATATCATAACTTGACAACACGCTTACGAAAATATCCCATCATCCTTTCATCAAATCCATTCGCTCTCAACGTCTAATACAACTTCTCTCGAGCTGGCGCAGCACATCCAAGATTTTTTTTTTTTTTTTTTTTTTTTATTATATATATATATATAAATCCTTTCTTTCTTCCTTTCTTTCTTTCTTTCTCACTTCTCTCACCTCTCTCTCCCTTTCTTTCGCTCTTTCTCTCTCTCTCGCTCTCTTTCTTTCTTTCTTTCTTACTTTCTTCCTTTCTTTCTCTCCCTTTCTCTCTCTCTATCTCTCCCTCACCCTTTTTTTCTTTTAATTTCTTTATTTTTTTTTTTTTAATTTAATGGTACACAGCTGGAATCATCCCAGTCGTTAAACTCACAAATTGTAAAACAACGTTTTCACGAAAAGGTTTTTATATTTTTTGTTTTTCTAATTAAATAATATATTTAATAAATAAAAGGTAAAATTTTCTAAGATTAAAAATCATCGGAGTCGATTGTGAATCACTTCGGGGGGTCTGTATCGTCCTAGAAGAATAAAATTTTAGTGAAGAGGAAATTCAGGATATCACACGCAGGCAGAGTCGGATTTGATTGATCCACAGTTTTTTGACCTGTAATTTGTGATTATTCTTTTTTTTTTTCTCTTTTTCTTTTCTTGTTCCTGTTGTTGTTATTATTATTATTGTTATTGTTATTATTATTATTATTATTACAAACATTTTATTTTCCTATAAATATTAGAGAACTTAAATTATTAGAAAAGAAGAATTATATGAGAGCGCCAGCTAAGCCGACTAAATATTTTTAGTCGCAAAGGTCTCGTTTCAATTCAACGAGATCAAGCAAAGATTCTTTTCTATAATTAATAACAATTATACAAATGTAATTATGTTTTTTCCTTTTTTTAATAGAATAAATGTTTTAATTATAAATCAAGAAGACATGTTGTTTATATACGACTACTATGATTCGATAATACAAAAAGATACACGACTTTGTTTCTAATAATTCTTCTTTTCGTTAATTCAAAAACCAATCATTCAATTAGATTGAAATAATATTATGAGATAAGAGAGCGCGATGAGAAATATATATATATATATATTGAAAAAAAAAAAAAAGTATACGATTAATATATCCCATATTTATTTGTTCGACATATTTAACGAGCAAACTTTTACCCATTTCTCTTAATATATTATAACTTGTCATTGGAAATATTTAATAAAGGATTAGAATAAGATCATGTGTGTTCTCTTTCATGTGGTAGTTTAAAAAAGAATGATTAAAAAAAAAAAAAAACAGAATCTTCATTAGCGCTCTTCTTCGCTTGAGATTTTCTTTTTCTCATCCATTTTTGCTCGATATTTACATCGATATTGTAATGATACAAAATTTGTACGTTAAATGAAAAGGATGTAGAGATGACATTATTATTATTATTATTATTATTAATATTATTATTGTTATTAATATTATTATTATTATTAATATTATTATTAATATTATTACCACATACCCAAAAAGGAGAAGTATCTTAAGAATTTAATTTCATTTTGGAAACGACACCTTCCACAGATTCTCTTTCTTGTGGATCAGTAAAGACGGTTTCGGTTTTCTTGCTGCTTTTTTTTTTTTTCGTTTTTTTTTTTCTTTTTAAATTTTCTGCACACGATTATAATAAATAACGTACTCTCTTTGCAACACACGCACACACTCTCTCTCTCTCTCTCTCTCTCTCTCTCTTTTTTTTTTCTCTCTCTCTCTCTTTCTCTCTCTTTGTCTTTCTTTATCTATCTAGTTATTTATCTATTTCTCTCCTTCACAATTGTTTATCCGTGAAATTACCAGTCTGTATTTTAAATACATTATTCTGAAAAGAAATCTTCTCAGGTGCAATTTATATGATTTTCCAAACATTTCAGGCATCAAACCAGTTTCATATTTTCAGTATATATATATATATATATATATGTATAAATTAATTAAATTAATCGAATGAAAATTTATTTTAAACGGATAAGCAAGCAACCAAAATGCCAAAAATGTTTGAAATATTTTCTACGAATACTTTTTTAAACTCTCTATAAATTTATATAATATATATTTAAGAATAGCGTAACACACACAATTGTGTGTTATCAATTTAAACATTTATACCATGTGAGAAAATTGATTATTAATTCATATATATATATATATATAATAAAAAAAAAAAAAATTGCATTTTTAATCCGATACAACAGTTTATATAGTTGTAGTAGTATCGATGATAGAACAAATGTTCGCCATATAGTTTTAAAATCAAATTATAGAGAGTAGATATATATATATATGTTTCATATTCGAATCGTGTATTCTATTAACGATTGACAAAAGTTAAACTAATGAAACCACTTCTTTATACGATTTATACAGGATATAATTTGTCCGTATTTAACATGTTTCGTTTAAGTTTAACTTTACTTTTTGATATCTCACAAAAGAATACACGTTTCGAAATGAACGGAAATTAAATTATTAAAGAAATTTAGTATGTTCATTTTCCATCCATTATATTGTTTACAGACGTCGCTCAGTCTTCTTATTTGAACGCAGTTCAATCTCATAAAGTTCGACATACAATAACCATTTTCATATTGATTTTTTTTTTCAAGATATACACAATCATATGATTATTATTATTATTATTATTATTATTTTCTCTCTCTCTCTCTCTCTCTCTTTCTTTCTTTCTCTCTTTCTCTCTTCATATTATTTATCATTGTCTTTTTTATTTATTTCAAGCAATAGTTGCCGGTTTCAAGATGCTGTAATAATAATTGAATTCTTTTAACGTTCAATACTATCTCTTACACGGGGAAATAAAAAAGAAACAAAAAGAAAAAAAAACCAAGATAATTCATGTGTGTGTGTGTATGGGGAGCGGGGGAAGGGAAGGGGGGAACAGATTGCACGAGTATTTGAAAAAGTTTAGCATCGCAAGGATTTTTAACACTGCTGCTTCTTCGAGGAGGGTTTTCTTTTTTTTTGATTGTAACAATAACTTGAAATATATTTTTGTTATATTAAAATATGATTAATAATCTTTCGAATACCATAAAATATATTCATTTTATTAATCACATATCCACATGCTTGACTTTTTAATGAGATCAGTCAGGAATTAATAATTCCAAATGGCTAGACCATAAATTACCACAAAACATAGGTTTTTTTTTTTTTATGTTTGTTTTTGATATCGCTTAAAAATAAATAAACGTAAATCATAGAAATTTTGTGTATAATAAAAGTTATTTTCTAAAAGAACAAAAATCTCTGCGGTCATTGTTACAATCATTATATATATTCATGATATCATTTAAAGAATGAGAATATCAAATGCGTGTTACAATATTACAATTCTTTACAATTATTTACAAACATCATGAAAAAATTTGCGTATTCGTATAATTAGATTTTAATTCTTTTTGTTTTTCTTTTTTCTTTTTTAATTTTTTTTTCTTTCTTTTTTTTCCTTTTTAAATTTAATTTATTAATACTCAAGGCATGCTTCTTATTTAATAATCGATCAACTTCGTTTACGCATCTCGCTAAAAATGTCTGTAATTTAACCACTGTACTAAAAATTCACTACGATGATCATGCACTTGATAAAATCATAATTGAAGAGGGTTAGGGGGGCTTGGGGTTGGGGGGTGGGAATTAAAGGGAAAAAAACGTTTTAAACGATAATTCATTAATATAATGCCCTAGATAAAGAAATAACTCTATTTAGAACGATTAATTTGTCTTCTAATAATATATATAATCTCGCTGAATGTGTGTTCTCGACAAAATCTCACATTATTATTATTATTATTAT